ATTGTAGCATCATGTTCCGATGGCTCAGACAGAGCGTCATCATCGCCGTATACCCCTCCTCGACATTTGATTCGACCAAAGCGTTAGTACCAGTTCTGAAAGAAGAAAAAGAAAGTTAATAAAGTTCATCGCAGAAAAATCAAACATGAAGAGTAACTGAACAACTCAGTTATGTATATCATGTTAACATCAGCAAATCCGTATCCGAAAATAGGGTCAAATAACATCCAAATCAATCAAATCTGAAAAAGGAAAAGAAATCAAATCAGATCGGAAATAGGTTCAATCAAAAACAAATCCAAAACGATAACAAAATCAGATCAACTTCAATCAGAATCAAATCTCAGAAAAAGTAACGCAAACCTAAAAGATCCAAGGCCCAAAAAGAGAAATTATATAAAGGAACGAACTCACCCTGTTGAAACCCTAGCGGGCTAACGGCGAAAACAAAGAAGGGACAGCCGAGAGAGAACGAAAGAGAACTAGCTGGCGGCCGTAATCACAAAAGCGGCGGAAAAAAACCATAGATCAAACTCACGAAACCTGCGAGTTTATCAACTGTAAGCTGGACAACGAAACCCTCGCGCGAAGCTCCCGTAACCACCGTGACTGCCTTCGTCGACGGCGGGTAATCAACGGCTCTAGCCTCAGCAATCAATCCATCACAGGCCGGGAAGAATCATAAATACCGTTATCATCTTTGCAAAAAACGGAAAGCCAAACCGGAAACATTATCGTTTAATATCTAGGTGAGGAATGGCCGTGAGTTTTTTTTGCGTTTCATTGCAGGTGAAGAAGATAAGAACAGAAAGAAAACCATGATGTATCCGAACGAAAGAGAAAAGTCTCAGAATAACGAGAGATTGGGACGACCGCTGAAATGAGGATTGGGGTTCTGAACCCTAATTCCTCTACCCTTTTGTCTCATACTTTGGACCCGGGTTGGGTCTGGAAGTGGCTACCGGCCCAACCCTTTTCTTTTTTTTATTATTTTTTTATTATAATAATTATTATTATCTTTTAGGATTATGTAAAAAAAATTTTTATTTATTAACCTAAAACTTTTTTTTATTAACCTAAATTTTTTTAAAATATTAACTAACTTCTTTTTTTAACAAACAAGCTATAGTAAACCTAAAATTTTTAATAAAACTCTTTTTTTTAGATAATGAATTCAAATCCGTTTCGAAAATTAAATTAAAATTTTTTAATATTAAGTCTTTTTTTTTACCTAAATCAAACCCTTTTTTTTTTACACAAAAAAAAAATCCTAAATGTTGCACCTTTTTCTTGACTGTCTCGTAATTCATTTTGATCGACGTCTGACTCTGCCTACTAACATGTGTGTTCATTTTTGCAGCTTATGTTTACTGTTATTACGTTGTGTTTTTATTTAAGTTTCATTATTATTGTAACTGCTCCTCTCATGTAACCTCGCGAATCCTAATAATCGCGCTTTAATTTCTGCCTTTAAATTTCTGCTTGCATGGTTTAAATTATGACATTATCTCTCTGTTTGCATGATTCAATTATCACACTTCCACCAATATTTCCGTCACACTACACACATCCGAAGGTTAGGTCTAACCGTTTGGCCGCCGCGCCAATAGTCCATAAACCCTCACAAATTCAAAACTACAAATTACAAACCCTAATTTTCACAAATGCCTCGCCGCAGGCAAAATTACCATTTTACCCCTAGCATTAGGTCAAAGAGCCGCCGCGCTCATTTTAGGGTTTCCCGCCGTGGAATCCCTAATTTAACCCTAATTACAACTTAACATTTCAACGTAGAGATTTGGAGTTTCTACACTCCGCGTAAGCGTGTCCTTAAGACATGTTTATTCCCCTTGAGACCTTGACCACAGTCGAGTGTTCCTTAACCTCCCTTTTGAGGGGAACTACGATTACTCTGATTCCATTCCCGTAAGGATACGTAGGCACAGGATGCGATGTCTTGCCGAGTAAACTTAGAATTAACCCCTTAGGTCTCTTTTCTCACTTTTAATCCTTTGTACATATACCTTAAGCAAAATAAATAAAGCAAATAGTAAACATTTGAACAAAAGGTTCCTGTAGAGTACTACAGAAGTTTAGGATGCTAATACCTTCCCTAAATTTAACCAACCCCCGAACCCTAGATCTTTCCCCGCATTGTGTTTACGATGCAAAAATAGGTTTTCCCTCTTTTGACCTTTTCCTTCGGATAAATCAAAGAGCGGTTGTGAATTGAATTGCGATTCAAACTCATTAATAGTTTGATATCCTATTTCCACCGCAACACTTATCCACTCATTCTGTTAGAAGATCATCATATTTGTATGATTGATCGCCGCGAATAAAGTCACGTGGTCGGGTCAGCGTTAGGCGGCACAGAGATTGGCTGGTAGACAATCGGGCTATCAAAGCGTCAGGCGGCGTTGAAGGTTGTGTCGTCCGAGGAGGGAGAGGCGGTGTGCCCGTCCCTAGGGTCGTCCTCTTTGACGTGAACGATCACGTTTGGGTCGTGGCCGTCACCGTTGGTGAACGGAGTGAAGGAAGTTTCTAGAGCGTTATCGTTGATGCGTGGGCAGGCCATGATCAACGGAGGTTGTAAACTACTTTGGTTCTTGAGTTTCTATAGGAGAAAGAATGGGGGAAGCAAGAGTTCTCACAAACGGTGCTATTGATCTTACCAGATCATAAATGGATTAACAGTCAGTCACGCGTCGTGAGCTCCTTAATTCATCGGTGTTGGAGAAGAGAAGAGGGTGTACCTGCAAGGTACTCCGATGCTAAAGTGAGAAAACGGAGTAAGAGAGAGAAAATACAGAAAGAAGGTGTAAAATTCAGAATACCCGATCCTCTAGTGAAAGAGGGTATTTGTAGTGTGTCCTCAGCGCTGGGCCAACGGTTACATTGCATTGGGCTGGATTGTCAGGCCCAACACAAATAACTACCAGGGTCTACGTGGCGTAGGGAAGACCAGTATGTGGTCTTCACTCTGGTGCAACTGCCACGTGATCCTCGGAAGATGAAAGACTGATTCTTTAGGACACAAGTAGTTGCCTAATGACGTGTTCCTGCGTGGGGAACACGTGGAGAACGTGGGGGAGATGTGTCAGTCTTTCCCGTGCTAGGTAGTGGTCTGTCCGACTGCAGAGTGTACTGGGGCGCGCTCAACGGGATGGAGGATTAAACCTTATTGGACCTCTCTAATGTAGTATTGGGTTGGGCCTACCTGACTATGGGGCAGCTACTGACCCAGTCCAAAATAATATTTTTATTTATTTTGTTTTCGTTTACTATTTATTTGAAATATCTTTAATGTACTTAATTTAATTCGGTGATTTGAAATATCTTAAATGTACTTAATTTAATTAGGTGATGAGTAAAATAAATATTTCAAATACTTTATCAATCATTAAATTAATTATTAAAAATATTACTCTAATTTTTTAGTTTATTTCTCTTAATATTTATTTATTTAATGTTTTTCAAAATATATAAATATGTTATATTAAGAGTCATACATTTTTATGTATTTAATGCTCTTTAAACAAGTTTTTAATAATGTAGATTATAATTTTGTTTTTATTTTATATAAGATTACAATTTTGTTTTACGCTGTAAAAAGGTTTACATTGAGAATGTCTCAAAACTATTTTTTTTTTCTTATTCTGCACTTTGATTTGATCTTTAATTTCATTTAGTTTTGATTATTTGATGTACAGAAGAAAATTCATGAAATGAAAAATTTGTTGCAAACTAGCAGTATAATCAAAAATCTAATTGTAATTTAACAGTTATATATTGATGATCTAACAACAGAAAAATAATTAGTAGTAATGGTACACCTATAAATTGACAGGTAATATAATTTTCTACTAAGTGACTAATACTTCATCTTCCAATATTCCACAAAATCTGGCCATTGAAAAAGTACGATTAAACAACAAAAACAGCTGTTAATTGTGCTATATATAAAAAATTACGTTCTAGATTTTACAATAATATTATAACTTCTAATGTTTACCAAAATTGTTTTAAAGAAGTTTATTGTGTAAAATAACATAAAATTGGTATTACCTTTCCTGAGTTGTTTAAAGTAACATAAAATTGACAACAAAATTTATCGATGTATAAATTCATGGCTGTCTTATAGAAAAGATAAATTGAAAGTACCTAAATCTACTTAACTGTGAGCATTTTCATGCAAACTTAGTGAAATCATTTTTTATATGTTAAACGAAGTGTATATATTTATGTAACAACTCATAAAGTGATATAATCAAAATAGTTAAATTATCATCTATCAGTATCATAAATAATGATTTCTTACATGTTTTATGATTGAGTTAAACTAGTATTATCAAGTTAAACAATTGTCATTCTATTTTTTATTCTTACTGCATTTTAAAAATAAATGAGCTTAATACATCAATACATGTGCAAACGTATATGTATTAAGATTAGAATATCTGTAAAAAAAAAAAAATTAAAAAAAATAAAATAAAAATAATTAAAATTGAGTACAAATTTACTTATGATATTATCAATTAAAACAAATTTATAAATACTATATTATTAATTAATATTTATACAACAAAATAATTATATAAATATTTTTATAAATAATACCGAAAAACAGAATTAATATTTAAATATAAAATACGTTGAGCTAATATTTGTATATATAAAAAAAATTTATATTTATGTTCAGAATTTAACTAATATATTTACACTGTCAACCAAATCATCCTTATGCATTCTGCCACATCAGACTTCAATTTTAAATTAAATATATAAAATAATAAATTAATATATTCTTATTAAATAATAATATAAAATTATTCTATACTAATGCTTACCAATTAACGTCACATACAAATACATTTTTCTTTTTGTAAATAATAAACTTTGTTGGTTGACCTGGATATTAATACTAGCGATTGTTATACACATATTCTCTCTTCTCTTCTCTTCTCCTGAAGCCTCAAAACCGAACACAACAAAATCCAATGGCTTCACTCTCCAGCACCACCGCTCTCGCCCCTCCTCTTCCTCCACCCACAATATCTCGTCTCAGAGCCACTTCAATTCGTGCACAATCCATTTCCCTGCCCAATCCCGAACCGAACACCAATTCTCCTCCACCTTCTTCAATTTCCGGAGTATGTAAGCTACGCCACACAACAATGGCGGTGACAGATGAACGGACGAAGATAATAGCGAAGGAAGTGGAGAAGATGAAATCGAAGGAAGCGAAGGAGAGAAAGGAGATGAAGAATAGGAAGGTGGCGTCGCAGAAAGCGGTGTCTGTTATACTTCGTAGAGAGGCCACAAAGGCTCTTATTGATAAGAGAAGGAAGAAAGGTCCTGTTAATTCTAAGAAGCTTTTACCTAGAACTGTACTTGAAGCGTTGCATGAAAGGATTGCGGCGTTTCGTTGGGAATCTGCTCTCAAGGTTTATTTCTTTCTTATTGTTTTGTTTTTAGATGAATTGAATGTAATTGCTTATGTGGACAGTTAAAAATCAACACGAGAATAAAATAAGTGTAGTAGAGATGAGTATGTTGCCTTGGATATGTGGTTAAATTAGAAATGATAGTATTAGATAGAGTGTTTGAGGTAGAATCTATAGTATAAAAGATGGTGAAAAATAGACTTAAGGTGGTTTAGACATGTAAAGTGAAGAGTAGACGGGTAACTTATGTGGTAAGGAGTCAAACAACTAGAGGTAGAGGAAGACATAAAAAAATTATAAGAGAAGTTATTAAGAAAGATTTCTATATTAACGATTTGGATGGAAACATGGTTCTTGATAGAACATTGGTGAGAAAGTTGATCCATGTAGCCGACTCTATTTAGTGGGATGAAAATTTGTTGTTGTTGTAGTTCGTATGATTGGTTTTGGTCTATGAAGAGCACACCTACATCACAATGACACATAGTCACTAGCAACTAGTGATTGAGCTCAAGTGGTTAATGAACTCCTCTTAAGAACGGATCATCCTGAAAAAAACAAGTTTGAATATGGGTGGAAAAATTATTGGCTAGGCTGTATTTTGAAAAAAAAACGAGTTTGAATATGGGTGGAACAATTATTGGCTAGGCTGTGCTTACTTCCGGACTGAATTCCATATTACCAAGGTCCATTTCCCTTAACACCAAACAAAACATAGGCACATACTAGCAATAATTTAAGAGAATATAAGTGTGTTAGACATTGAATACACCTTCAATGTGTAGTGTCGATGTTATATAGGTTTTGGTTTGTTGTGTTTTATTTTATGGGAATATACGAGTCTGATATGAGTTTTTGTTTCTTTGTTTGTTTATTTGATTAGTTGATTGTGGATAGAGTTCCATTGGGTTGGTTTTGGTTTTGAGTTCATCAATGGATCTAATCCAATGCAAAGCTGATAATCAAAACAATGGAAACAAAAATAAATCTCTTATTGTAAGGTAAAGAAAGCTCCCACTTCTAAGCACATGCACTGTCTATATCTCATCCAATGAGAGACTCTTAACACCTATGTTGAAAAACCAATCCAATCCAGACTGAACCAACTATACTTCTATATACATGTATCGAATATCAGTTGGATATGCCTACACACAATCCTTTTTTGCTTCCTTATATCGACGAAGAGAAGAAGTATTTGTTTTTTTGAAAGTTTTCAATAGTCATCAACTGACAATTTGTATGTGAGTTATTTATATGTTATGGTATTTGTTCTGTGTGTCAGTCTTGTCAAGAGAATGCACATGGGACGCTGCGTTAAATTTTCGAAGAGTTAAATTGATCGAGAACGTTTTATCTTTCTGCTGTTTAACTTTAAGGATTTCTTGTACTGTGAAAGACGTCCATTTAGGATCTTGTTTGCATGTATTAAAACATAATTAAACTAGTTTTAAGACAGTGGTTGAAATTTGAAGCTGCACTCTTTCTTTTTTCTCTCGTGCACACGTACACTTGTGAAACTGTTTAGTTTGCAGGAAGACTTGATTCACATCAAAGCATGCTCTCATGGTTTCAGGTTTTTGAACTACTGCGTGAACAGCTTTGGTACAGACCTTACACTGGTGTATACATCAAGTTAATAGTCATGCTTGGAAAATGTAAGCAACCTGATAAAGCTTTTGAACTCTTTCAAGCTATGGTTGAAGAAGGTTGTGTTTTGGACTGTGAATCATACACAGCATTGTTAGCTGCCTATGGTAGGAGCGGTCTCTTGGATAAAGCCTTTTCTCTTCTTGAGGAAATGAAGAGTACACCTGGTTGTCAGCCAGATGTCCAGACTTATTCAATCCTCATTAAATCGTGCTTGCAGATTCCTGCCTTTGACAAAGTTCAGAGTCTTATATCAGACATGGCCACTCTTGGTATCAAACCAAACACAGTCACCTACAACACCCTTATTGATGCTTATGGGAAGGCAAAAAGGTAAAATGTTAACCTTTCTTTCTTTATCTTGTGAAAGAACTACATGCGCAGTCTGGTTGCTGACTGAAGTTGAAAAAAGAATTTTATGAACTACCTACTTTTCCAACACATCACTATCCAGTTCTGGATTGTCGCCGATAAAGTTGTGATGAAAAATTGCTCATTTTTTGTTGTTTACTTGTATTTTTAGTCTTTTAGCAACCAGCTGCAGCATAACTCAATAGCGTATTTGCATATCTGTAATATAATTTTATGCTCTTAAAAGGTTTTCAGAAATGGAATCTACACTTTTGGAAATGCTTGCTGAACAAGATTGTCAACCAGATGTATGGACCATGAATTCAACACTCAGGGCCTTTGGCAACCTTGGGCAGATAGAAACAATGGAGAGGTGTTATGAGAAGTTTCAGGCATCTGGAATCCAACCAAATGTTCAAACCTTCAACATTCTCTTGGATTCCTACGGTAAAGCCCATGATTACACGAAAGTGAGTGCTGTAATGGAATACATGCAGAAATATCATTATTCATGGACAATTGTCACCTACAATATTGTGATTGATGCTTTTGGGAAGGCTGGGGATCTCAAACAGATGGAGTATTTGTTTAGACTGATGCGGTCAGAGAGAATAAAACCTAGTTGTGTCACACTGTGTTCACTTGTGAGGGCTTATGCACATGCAGGTAAGCCTGAAAAAGTTGGTGGCGTCTTGCGATTTGTTGATAATTCAGATGTAACATTGGACACTGTATTCTTCAATTGCTTGGTGGATGCTTATATGAGATTAGATTGTTTGGATGAGATGAAGGGAGTGCTTGAGATCATGGAACATAAAGGTTGTAAGCCCGATTTCTTAACTTATAAAACAATGATTAAAGCTTATTCATCTAAGGGTATGCATAGTCATGTTAAGGAGCTTAAAGAGCTTCTCTCAACAGTGAAGAGTCATCCTTTAGAAAGAAACAAACCAGACTTTTGATGAGAAGATTTACTGATATTTTTGCTTCAATATGTTTGGCTTTCTATGATCTGTTTATTTGTGCATAAGATGAATATATCTTAGTGTAGTTGAGTTTGTTTTTTTTCTTTTCTTAGTTTTATAGTTAGTCAGTTTAGGAGGAAAGAGACACAAGAAAATAGTGGCAAGAAAAATGAGAGTAAAAGTGTAAAATACTATATTAAGAAAGGGAGGAAAATAGAGAGGAAGTAAAAAGAATGATATATGTTTAGGGTAAAATTTCTTTACTCTGACCTTACAGAAACAATGGAATTCAAAATGTCAATATTATTATTTTCGATTTCATTTCCATACTAGTCTCATTTTTTGTTGGGTTGTTCCTTTTAAATGTAGAGGCATTGTTTGTGATGAGCACATAATGTAATGTTTTTGTAGACATAAGGTTTGTCTTTCTTCTGGATGATTCAAAATTGTTTTACTAGTCCATGAAAGGAAGATTCCAACTTCTTGAAGATGTTGTTGATTCATAAGTAGAGTAGATTTTTGGACTCTTACGTATGCTTTGTCGTATTCATATCATTGAGAAGATCCCTAGTAAAAAGTGTAGTCTTTACATCTTTATGTCATATTTATGCGCAATTTGCAACGATTGTAAGTTTAATTCCAACGGATTTAAGCATCACAATTGGAGAGAATGTTTTATCACACTTTAAATGTTTTGTTTGGTGTGTGGTATAGGATTGAGGCATGATAGAATAAAAAAGAGGTGGAGAGAATGTTTTATCACACTTTAAATGTCATGCAGAGTTTCAAATCAAGACTTAGTGTGTGTTTGGTAGCAAATGGTCGCTACCTGTTGGACTTTCAACTAGGGAGCATTGAACATAGTGAGATTTTTTTCTAGAGCAACCTTTGTGAGAGACACACCACATTAGAGCAACCTTTGTGAGAGACACACCACATACTCACCCAAAACCTTAAGGTGATAGGTGTATGGGTTCTCTCACTTATAAATGCTCAAGTCACCACATTTCTATCCAATGTGGGACTATTATCCACCCTACTCACACTTGTTAATACTTAACACTCTCCCTCAAGTGTGAGTCTATCCCAATGCTCTCCCTTAAGCGGAAACTTTAACTGTGCAATGGCACCCTTGTACCGAACCGAACCCACGACCTATGGGGATACTTTCAATGGCACCCTTGTACCGAACCGAACCCACCACCCTACTCACCCTTGTACCGAACCGAACCCACGACCTATGGGGATACTTTCAATGGCACCCTTGTACCGAACCGAACCCACCACCCTACTCACACTTGTTAATACTTAACACTCTCCCTCAAGTGTGAGTCTATCCCAACTATCCCAATGCTCTCCCTTAAGCGGAAACTTTAACTGTGCAATGGCACCCTTGTACCGAACCGAACCCACGACCTATGGGGATACTTTCAATGGCACCCTTGTACCGAACCGAACCCACCACCCTACTCACCCTTGTACCGAACCGAACCCACGACCTATGGGGATACTTTCAATGGCACCCTTGTACCGAACCGAACCCACCACCCTACTCACACTTGTTAATACTTAACACTCTCCCTCAAGTGTGAGTCTATCCCAATGCTCTCCCTTAAGCGGAAACTTTAACTGTGCAATGGCACCCTTGTACCGAACCGAACCCACGACCTATGGGGATACTTTCAATGGCACCCTTGTACCGAACCGAACCCACGACCTATGGGGATACTTTCGATACAAGTAAGTCGTTCCCTTTATTCGAACCAAAGGCTCATGATACCACTGTTGGACTTTCAACTAGGGAGCATTGAACATAGTGGGACTTTTTTCTAGAGCAACCTTTGTGAGAGACACACCACATACTCACCCAAAACCTTAAGGTGATATATGTATGGGTTCTCTCACTTATAAATGCTCAAGTCACCACATTTCTATCCAATGTGGGATTATTATCCACCCTACTCACACTTGTTAATACTTAACACTTCTGGTATCAGAGCCTATCACTATTTTCCTTCCTTGAATCTCTCAACCGGAGCTCTAGATACCAGATGTTGGAAATTCACCTCACACCCTATGAAGAATTCCCTTCAATCTTAATCTCAAGATTGACGAACAAACCCACAATATGATAGTAATGGTAATAACAAGTAATTATCAAGAACAACAAAAGAAAAGAAGAACACACAAGAAAGAGAAGAATGAGAGAAGAAATATTTGGAGAAAGTTGTTACCCACAAACTGTGGGATTTCTTATTGAACTTTCACTTGATAACTGCAACTGTGAAATTTGTTCTGTTGTGATTGAATACAAAGTAAGGCACCCTATTTATAGTTTTAGGTTTACAAAGGCCCAAAACATAAAAGGCCCAAAATATTCAAATCAAATCTAATCATATTAAATCAAAACAATGAATTACATTTAACACACCACCTAATTCATTGTGTCTAAACTATCTACATTCATCATGGCTCTTAGTCTTCTGAAGGCTTCGACCGGCACTCCCTTCGTCATGATATCTGCAATCTGATTCTCAGTTCTGCAGTGTTCCAACTTCATCTTCCCTTCTGCTACCTGCTCTCGAAGATAATGGAACCTCATTTCGATGTGCTTGCTTCGACCATGAGCTATTGGATTCTTCGCCAAGTTGATAGCTGACATGCTGTCTATCTTCATGTAATTGCTCCATGATTCTTCCCTGTGATTTCTTCGACCAAGTTCACCATCCAAGTTGCTTGACATGCACAAAGAGAAGCAGCTATATATTCTGCTTCGCATGATGACAATGCCACTACTGGTTTCTTTCTCGAATTCTAAGCAACTGGTGCACCACCTAACATAAACACATAACCAGCTGTGGATTTTCGATCCTCAGCATCACTACACCAACTGGAGTCTGTGTATCCCACTAACTTGCATTTTTTCCTTCATCGGCTGCTGGAAATAAAACGTCATAGTCGGGAGTTCCTTTCAGATACCTCAGTATCCTCTTCGCCGCTGCTAGGTGTGATACCTTTGGCTTCTGCATGAATCTACTTACCATACCAACACTGTATGTCTAAACGAAGCAATATGAAGAAAAGAAGCAATTACAAATGAAATATGGACGAAAACCAGATGAAAACAACATGAAAAACACAGAATGTGCATTTTGCTGCTGTGACGACCGTCACACCTCCATGACGACCGTCACACGGGTGACGACCGTCACACACCATGACGACCGTCATGCAGGCAAAAACGCATAGCTTCAATTGAACGTGCAAATACCAGTTCCAAGTCCCAAATAATGGACCACTACTCCCTAATTTTTCTGCCTCACAGTCCACCTTCTTCAAATTACAACCGTTAGAATTTTACCTCTATAAAAGGGGAAGGATGGGAGCTGAGAAAGAGAGCCGCATTCAGACAACGAAGTGCTTCCCAAATTTATTTCCATAGCAAAATTTAGTTTCATTCTTTCTGTTTTTGTTTCCTTTCCTTATTCCTGTATTCCATTTTCTACAATATTCATTTGTGCGCTCTATTGGTTTGAAGACACAATCCTGCCGACATCGTTGGGATTTGGCCAAAAGCCAATTGGATACGTTACAGGTTTTTCATTATTTCGTTAATTGTAACTTTAATTCTCAGTAATATGAATGTTCTAAGTTTCTGTTTTTATTTATGTTTTACCTTTCCCAAATCCATGTCTAGCTAAAGCAGAGTAATCGATATGTAATAATAATTCAGACGGGATTTGATAATAACCGGTTGAAAACTTTCTTTTTCAAAAGTTGTTTATGGTCTGAATGTTTAAACTTATTTACTGAATAAGCTTTCGTCGCGAAAGCGAGAACTTATTTAAAAGTAGTTTTGCCACGACAGTGGGAAATTAATTAAGGTACGAACCAACAAGCGACAGATGCGGCTAAGACCAGATAGTAAACACTAGGCATTTGTTTTAATAACAGCGAAAGCACTTTAAAATAGATTAGAACTTAGAGATTTCCAAAAAGCGATTTTAACCCCGAACTACGCTCCGCCTTAGAGTTGCGACTAGCGTCAACAACCATCGTGAGACAAAGGTCTTTAGATCACTATTTTTCTTCTTAAATAAATTCTGAAAAATATTTCATATACCGGTAACTTGTCAAATCCCCGAAGAACATAATTATTGCATGTCGATTCGCGTAATTATAATTCAAGTAACGTTTTTAGTTCCCTTTAGTGATAGAAATTATTCCCTTAAACATTATCTACCTAGCTAAACATAGTAACTCCCGAGAACACTAGTTTGATTACGAGTCCTTGTGGGATCGATATCTTTTATTACTACGCGATAGACTGTGCACTTGCAGTTAAGTTGTATTAGACATAGAAAGTCGCGATCAAGTTTTTGGCGCCGTTGCCGGGGACCCGTTTAGTCAGTAGTGTAACCTTCTGTTACGCCGTATAGACTAGGTTAACAATTTTATTTTTCCTTTACTGGTTCTGTCGATTGTATGCCAAGTAATCGCCCACAAGGCGATATCTTAAAACCCTCAGTCGCAGAACTAGAGCGCTTCTTACACTTAAGAAGTCGCATCATTGAGTACCAACAAAAACATAACATTCTCGATCCTCTCACTCACATTCCCAAATCCGAAGAAGAATCAAAGATGGCTGAAGGACCTCAAAACAAACCGCTGAAGGCATACGCTACACCCTCTCAGATGGAGCCTAGAAGTAGCATTGCTGCCCCAGCTATTACTCGAAACAATTTTGAGCTGAAACCGTCACTGCTGTCAGCTGTACAACGAAACCAATTCTCAGGAAATGCAACTGAGGATCCGAACGAACATTTAACAAAGTTTGTACAATACGCAGACACAGTGAAAGCAAATGGAGTAACTCCAGACGCAATAAGACTTCGTCTTTTCCCTTTCTCTCTTAGAGATAGAGCGTGGACATGGTTACAATCCCTACCATCCAACTCCGTTACGGTGTGGGAACAGTTGAAGAACGTCTTCTTAGC